ATCTTGCCGCAGTCTTCAAAGCATGCGTTGCCTTGGATCGTTTGTGGTGATTTCAACATGCATCCCGACTTTCCGGTTTATGAAATGCTGAGACATGGAAAATTGTTCGTCGACAGTGTTGAGAAGTTAAATCCAGCAAAGTGGAAGTACCCTGAAGTTGTTAAGCAAAATGAGGTAGGTCCCCTGATTTTTGGCAGGCTTTTAGCTAGAAGGGCATCCTGGGACACCCTACAATGAAAAATGGATGCCCAAGTTGGGTTGTTTTTTTTTTTGGGGGGGGGGGGATTTTGTTAATGATTTTCCCAAATGTATTAATACTAGGTACATCTAGCCTGCGCGCAGACTATATAATGACATATATAGTCTGCGAATCTGTGGCATGAAGCTTGTATGGTCATGTGAATTTCCCAAGAAAAGTTGGGACGAATTGTGATTGGTTGAACTATAATTATGCAGAATTAATATACAATTACTTTATGGTTTCCGTGTTTGGATGGCCTGATCCAAACACGCGGGAATGTTGCGAGGGTTAAGAAAAGCGAGCGAAATCACGAGCCGAAGGCGAGTGATTTTGCCCACTTTTGACCAATCAGAATACGCGTTATGTACATGTTATTTTATAATGTTAATTCATCGGACACTGCGTTCGCAACGCGCGTTGAGCTGTTCAAAATTGACCGTTTCCAGAGTCAAGTGACAATGTTTATATTACAGTTGTATTTATAGAAGTGTGGCGAATAAACAAGAAAGGTCGTTGTAGAAGAAATCTATAATATTACATCTTTTGTTTGGCGAAATGGGCTTTCCGTTTTGAAAACAACGGCCTGTTTTGTTTATCCGCCACACTTCTATAAATACAACTGTAATAAACATTGTCATTTGAATCATTTGACCTTGGAAACCTTCAATTTTGAACAGCCAACGCGCGTTGCGAACGCAATGTCCGATGAATTAACATTAATTCTGCATAATTATAGTTCAACCAATCACAATTCGTCCCAACTTTTCTTGGGAAATTCACGTGACCATACAAGCTTCATGCCACGGATTCGCAGACTATATATGTCATTATATAGTCTGCGCGCAGGCTAGGTACATCTGAATTGAAATAGATTCAATTTTCAGTATTATTTTAACCCTTTAAGTGGCAATGCGCCCCAGTTTGTTATTTTAATATTTTATGTTATATAATACCTTATTGAATTCTGATCATTTAAGGGAGTGGTCATTATTTATGGGAGGGGGGCAAACAAAGTTTTACCCTTATAAATAAGGGGGTCAAAAAAGTTTTAACACAGAGAAAGGGCGGGTCATAAAAGTTTTTGAACTTAAATACCATGTCTAGAGTTCTGATTTCTATAATCACAAATAGCAAAAAAGAAGACTCTGAAAATGCTATTTCCAACGATCTAGAGACTCAAAATTTCCCTGCTCGGCGCCAACCATGGTAGCGCCTCGCGATTGTGGGAGTTGGGCCCACTAAGTTTAACAAGCTTTCTACCCCCTGAGTGACCCAGTTGTGGTATTTACATAAACATACCATGCAACTACACTTAACTGATCAGATTCAGTCTATCAATGCACAATGTAATGCTGTATATCCAAAAATCTGTTTCAGAAAATGCTCACATTTCAGTTCTAGGGGTGGAAAAGTACAAAAAATTTTCTGGGGGAGAATACCTCCAGACCCCCCCTACTAGTACATACGATACCACACCAAAATATTTGTCACCAACAACCATCTGTCGTCTCTACACACTCAATATAGTATGGTCCCTTTTTGTAGATGCCCACCCCCAGACAAGTTCTTAAAATCTCATTTCGCTGTATGAAGGCGGGTCATGGGTTAGGGTTATGGTAGGACAAATGTTGCATTGCAAAGTAGTAACACATAATATATATTTTTTAATCATATATGGTTGAATCATATTCACCAGGGGCCAGTTGTTCAAAGCTGGGTTAGCTTAACCCTAGGTTAACCTAAAATTCAAAGCAAACTTCCTGACAGCTTGTCTATAAATTTGGAAATATTTCTTCAGAGATCTTGTCTGGATGGATAGGAGTTTACTACTCTGAAGTTTTGAAATAAACAGACGTGCAGAAATACACAAACTAAAACAGCAGGTTAAACTTTTAAGGTTACAGAACACCTTTGAGTGTTAATTTTGCCTAAAATTTTTTTATTGGTTCCATGAAAGCATTAGACTAGTTCTACTATCTGACCAAGTTTGAACGAAAAATGTTGAAAACTCGCAGAGTTATTTAATAAAATACATTTCGCTGCAATAAGAAAAACATTGAAAATGTAATATTCAAATTCAATTTTCTCCCGAAAAAGTTTGCGGTAATTACTGATTTTCAAACGAGTTGTGCTCCTGCGGGTTTTGACCAATTTTTCTCAAATTTTCACAGGACATAGCTAAAGACGTCAGTTTCAAAATTGTGTTCGGTTTTTTTGTTAATTTTGGATATTTTAATAATAAAGAGCAATTCACTCAAACAATTCAGAAATATATTGCAGTCGTCAAAGAAATCGCCATATCAGCGGAATGACGAAATAAACAAAAAATTCCGAACACGATTTTTTAGAACAACTATTTTACTGTATAAAAATGATATTTTCATAAATATAACTTAAAACCAGCAGGAGCACAACTCAAAAGCGTAAAGGTACCGCGATTTAAGATTTTCCTGAATAATTCTTATATTATTTTATTGTTTGTTAATTTTACAACATTACCATATTTTGCATGCACTGGAGAACATTTGGTGAAAATTTGATTCAATTCGGACTGATATTGAGCGCACAGTAGCGATTTTCCGCAAAACGCCAAAAAGGGTGTCCTGTAACCTTAACCCAGGGTTAGCGCTAACCCACCTTTGAACAACCGGCCCCAGGGTAAAACATCATGAGCTAGATTAAACAAATTGTCCTAATATCTAACTTTACCTGCAATGCACACCTGTTTCATTGCTGTTAATTTTTCAATCCACACTGGGGGGGGGGTCAGAAAAGTTTCTACTTTTATGAGGGGGAGGCACAAAAAGTTTGCCTTCAGTCTGGAGGGGGGTCAAAAAAGTTTTCAATCCTTATTTTCCCCATTTCCCAACCCCCCCCTCCCCATAAATAATGACCACTCCCTAATTGGTTTTATGGTGATATTGAATAGAAAATTCCATTTCCCAAGAGTGCAATGGAATACCTTCCATTGCACTCTTGGCGAGTGCAATTCTACTATACGTTTTATTCCATTGCACTCTTTGTGTTTTTGATAAATCGCATCCGTCAAAATGCTTCTCGTACAGTGATCGCAGTTTATTTTAACCCGATATTCGAAACTCAGTAAATGGGATTTAATGCAAATACGACTCGTCAAAATGGCGGCAGCTTACACTAGTAAACCTTTTAATATCAGTCTATTTTGGTATTATATAAAACAAATAATGAATGTTTTTATTCGTGCAATGGCAAGAATATTTTCATTCGGTGAAAGATGGAATGTTCCATTCAACTCGGCTGTCGCCTCGTTGAATGGAACATTCCACCTTTCACCTCATGAAAATATTCTTACCATTGCACTCATAAACATTCATTATTTGTATACTGTCTTAACGCCAGATGATTTTACTCGTCAGGGGGTGAGTTCTAATCAATTTGAATGAAAATGCCGTAGTTAAGTAACGAAGCATAGCGGCACAATGTTGCACATACCATACTACACAATGTTACACATACCAAAAATAATATTTTTTTGTATTGTCAGTTTATTTAGGGCCTATAATATATCAAAATTAAATTCAGCATACTTGAATAACTAGAAGTTACTATCGCAAGGAAAATGCTGCCAATACATCTCACATTTTACAACTTTGCTCGCGCACACTTGCAATCAGTAACAAAACTAATACATGTAATTAATAACAAACGTCACATAAACAAAATTCAAGAGCACAGCAAGGTTCGAAATAACGGTTCGTGATTCGTGAATCACGAATCAATTTTCATTTTTCACGAACCCAATTTCATAGAAATTGATCAAAATCACGAATCATAAGTCTCTCAAATTGATAAAAATATACAATAATAAATTCAGTTCTTTGTAAATGTGATGAAGGATCATATATTCTGAAGATATTGTTGTTAGATTGTACTTAAAAACGATTATAATTCCACCTAAAATTATATTTCTTTGCGAGTTTGCGATGTATTATTATATATTTGAAAATTGCAGTGCTTCCACTTTGTAACTTCCAATTAGAGAAAATTCCTTGAAAATTCCTTAAAATTTCCTTAAAATAAAAAATTAGTTCACGAACCATTTTTTCAGAATTAATTCGAACCCTGCACAGTATGAACTGTCTGTGGTTCAGTGTGTTTACGTGGAGGTAGGATAACCCTATAGCAGAAGGATTACCCTATTCTACTGTGTTTGCGCGCTAGGGTAAGCCCAACCTCGCAAACCAGGGTCTTTACTTCCGCATGGCGTTGCTGTAAAGACCCTGGCTTGTGGGGTTGGGGTAAGCCAGGTTTTATGTACAGTATAATTTATTGAGTATCATAATTATAATATTATGTGATTAATGTATATTTCTTTTATAATTTGCAGATTGTAAACTACGACAGCGTTGTTCTGCGAAAACACAAGAAAAGTTTGACGCATCCATTCAAGTGTTCAAAAAGCGCATACAAAAGTGTTTTGGTAATTTTAAGTTATTATATTATTATT